CCGCCACCTGCCTCTCTGCCTACTTGTGATCTCTCTCTGTCTCTGTTAAATAAAGTCTTAAATAAATAAATAAATAAACAAACGCCTTAACAGTACTAATGCATAGTGATTTGCCCTCTCTATAATAATGTATAGTGATTAGAAACATTATACTTGACAGTTGGGAAAGAAGGTTACTTTTGGCAGACTGTGACTGCATTTGGAAATAAGGTCTTTAAAGAAATAGTTAAATTAAACGAGGTCATTAGGGTCGGGCCTAATCCAATATGACTGGTGTTCTTATAAAAAGAGGGCATTTTGAGCAGTTTTAGAAGACAGACACTCATAGAGGGAAGGCCAGCTGAAGACACAGGGAAAAGATGACCATCCACAAGATAAGGAGAGAGGCCTCAGAAAAAAATAAACCCTGTAGACACCTTGATCTCAGACTTCCAGCCTCCAGAATTGTGAGAAGATTAATTTCTTTTCCATCATTCAGTCTACGGTGTTTTGTTATGGAGGGCCTCGCAAACGAACACACACCTCCACCAACTTTACTTGGAAATCTCTTCCATAAATTACTTCTGGCATGAGAGGCTGCTCAGTTCTCAGAGCTAAAAATGTAGCTCGTGTCAAAACATTAATAATAGATGACAGTAAGAAAGCCTGTAGTTTTAGATCATTGATAAATTGTAAGGCAGACCATGACAGATCACAATAAAGTATCATGTTCCAGAACCTACAGTCAACATGAAATTCCACAAAGGATTATTTCCAGTGAAGGTATAACAATGAGGGGAGAAGCCCCTTGGCCCCACACTCAGAAACTCAATCAGTGCTATTCATATAAACTTTCTAATATAAACTCAAAGAAGTACAGACCATTAAATGGAAACTCCTGATAAGTCCTCCTTACTGATCAAGAACATCTGTCAGCAGTAGTCTGGGTTAAGTAACAGTGTGCTAAGTGATGGCAGCTGTGATAAACACACAATAGTAACCCAAGAAAAATCTAATAGCAGGCACTAGAAATTTAGAAAGCAGTGCTAAACTATATCCAATTTACACTACTCCTCTCCCTCATCCCCAACTAAGGGTGTAAGACTCAAAAGATAAAAGGAATGTGAAAAGAAAACACCATTTTTCCAAACTACACCAATCCCAACCTATCCCACCATCACCCTTCCTTCTCATAATTATCATTTTGATATCAAGCTCTCTCTCTTGGTCCTGGTGATTTTACTGTCCTGCAGATGATCTGCAGCTAACTCCACCTCTCAGCTCCTTATCTACTCCTCCCAAAGGACCCTGTTCTCCACCCTACCTGTGCAACTCGCTCCCATAAAAAGACACTGGAGATTGTCATTAACAATAAATGCCCTCCCTAGCACCCCTTCTCTGACTACAAACAGCTTCGTTACAGTTTGTGCCCCTCCCCAGGTCCCCAATTTGAATGATGTCTCAGCCCCCCTGCTATGTCCCACTCATTGAGTTCTAACATCACTTTACTGTCCCTCACCTCTCTGATATCCTCAGATCTCCCTTTCCCCAGCCCCGATTCCATGTGCCATCACTACCATAGCCCCCTTATATTTCTGTAACCCGCTTGCCCCTCTCTTCCCCCATCTCATGTGCTTAGTTCAATTCAACTTTCCAATTCACTCCTTATCTTCAGTGAGGCAACTCAACATGGACAAAGAAAAGCATTCACATTGGCTGTTCTCACTTGAAATTCATGAGCACTGCCCCGTGGTCGTCTTGTACATTCTGTTCCTTGTTTAACTCAGCCACTTCTAGACTATATTTTCTGCCTCCTCATTTCCCAAACCTCCACATCATCTTCCTTCTTCTCGTATTCAGTTGATGACCCAGCTCCTTATTTCACTGAGAAAACAGAGGCAATCAAAAGCGGACATCTGAACGAACGTTCCCATGCACAAACCTACAAACCTACCTTTGTTAGACCAGGTGATCTCTCTGCCCTCCTACCTGAGATCAATGTTGTACTTGTACCCTGGATCCTATCCCATCCCCTACCTGGTAATCTCCCTCCTGCATCATTAACTTTTCCCACGTTACAAGATCATTCCCATCAACATAGAAACATGTAGAATTTGTCCTCATTCTTATAAAGTCATTACTTGACTACTTGACCCACATTCTCCCTCCAGGCACTGTCCCATTTGCTTTGTCCAAAAACCTCTGATTCCTGCCACTATAAGTCTTTCTCTTTCTCAGGTAGTCCACATTTCCAACCCGTGAACACATCCTGTTACTTCTTCCCAAATATATTCAGAAAACAGTTACTTTCTACCTCTCCCTTTATACCTTTGTTTAAGTCATCACCATCCCCCCTCTTGGATTACTGAAATACATTCCTGAACCCCTCTATTTTTTATTCTTCATAATCTCATCTGTGTAATATAAGTCAATCACAGCATTATCATTATCAAAACCTTCCACGGTTTCCTATCTCCCTTGGACTGAAAGCCAAGCCCTTCCAAAGGGCTTTCAAGTACCTGTGTGATTTCAACCCCTTCCCCCTGCCTCCAGACCAACCTCGTTCCTACCTCTCTATTTGACTTCAGTGTTTCAACAATGCTGGTATCCATGCTATTCCTCAGATATGACCAGAACACTGCAGCCTCTATGTGTATCTACCTGTATGTATCTACCTGTATGGCCTGGTGTATCTACCCCTTTCCTCTACGCTGTCTTCCCCAGGAAGCAGCATTACTTCCTGCCTCACATTTGCATTGGTTCTCCTCTCAAAAACCACCTCCTTTATGGCATTTTCCTGACCTTCTCCACATAAAACAGCGCCTCTGCTGTTTATACTCTCCATTCTCTCTCTCTCTCGCTCTCTCTCTCTCCTTGACCTTGCTTTACCTTTTTCATAGCATTTATTACCATGGGACATATTATATATTTTATGCTTGTCTGGTGTCTGTCTCTTACTACACAGACTCAGGCAAGAATATCATCTTTGTTGTTGACTCATCAATGCTTAGAATAGTGCCTGGCGTGTATTACACACTCAATAAATACTTGCTGAATGGATGAACCAATGAGATCATCAGCATCACTATCAGTATTATCTTTATTATCTAAATGCCTGGGCCTAAAGGGCTGGTGCAGAGCAACTGCACTCTAAGACTCTAAGTGAAACAGCCTAAATCAGGCTGACCTTGCTTGGAGGAGGGCTTAGAAAGAACACAGCGAGCATTTACTGGAAATACTGATGTGCACTTTACTTGCTAAGGTCAGAAGAGGAAAATCATTTCATGCCTGAAAAATTAGGTTTTAATCAAAACTAGCAGAACATGGTCACAAGCATATTTTATTCCTTAACAGAGAACTTCCATTAGAAGAGCTTTGTATTATTCTATTCCATCATCTAAATCCACAAAAAACATGTATGAATAATTAAAGGAAAGGAAAGCTGAAAAAAGGAGAAACATGATTTTCCTAAACCAATGATTTAAAATCTTCTATCATTGTTTGTTGTTGTTATGATTATTTTGCATGTTATATTCCACCATTAACTTCTTTTTTCTATTCTTAGAACTATTTTTCTATCACAGTCTCTTTTCAAGTAGAAAGGGAAAATTTACCCAAATGGTAATTTGAACAACCTAGTCACAAGGGCCCAAAGTAAAACAAATTTCAAGGTCTTATCATTTTGAAGCAAATTTATTACCTAGATGACATCTTCCTTTCTTCCTTTAGAAGATGCAAGTGTTACTGTTGTGGCTTTTCCAATGGGAATATAATTCTAAGGTCACATTAAAATGTACAGATTTAGAAGGAGAACTTGCATTGCATGTGAAGAGTAAAAAATATATATATATCAGAACAAGCCAATGTACAGTACATGAGAAAATGGGAATGAAAGAATATTTAAAAAAAATAGAAAGTTCGTAGGGCAGGGAATTTAAATAATACAAACTTCTAAGAATTAACGTGTTCGTTGATAACATTTCAGCATATCTGTTTCTCAGAGTAAAAGTATAAATTTGTACAGAGACAGAAATTTGAGCAGAATAAAAATGTAACTCAAAAAAAGGTCTAAGTTCAGAAAAATAAAACATATAAAATGACGTAAATACGTTGGTCCTCATTTGCTTTAAGACTTTATTCCATATTCTTACACCTACAGGTCCTTATTTTTTCACTTCCATTTTTATAAACAAGATAATCTGAAATTCTTTATAACTCTATGCCTTCTGAATTTGAGACTCACTTGTAGTAAAAAAATGTCCCCAATAGAATATGTTAGTATTTAAAAATCTATTAGAAAGTTAGATAAGTGTTAGGATACTCTAAAAACAACAGGATGCTTTAGAGATCTTTAATGTTTGAAAAAACTTAATTGAATATGAAGAGATAAATTAATTTGAAACAAATAGAAGTAATACATGCAACTTAAATTAAGTGTCTAAATACTGACAATTAGAAATGGGGGGTGGGAGGGCGGTTGGGTGGCTCAGTCAGTTAAGCGTCCAACTCTTGGTTCCAGCTCAGGTCATGATCTCCGGGTCCTGGGATTGTGCCCTGCATCAGGCTCCGCACTCACCACGGAGTCTCCTTGAGGATTCTATCCCTCTCCCATGGCCCTTCCCCCTGCTCACACTCTCTCCCCCGAATAAATTAAATCTATAAATAAATAAATAAATAAATAAATAAATAAAAGAAATGGGAGGTAAGGGTGAAATCCTGTGTTGATTTCTTCAACTCAGGTATTTATCTAGAATTTTAAGTATTTACTTTGCCAAAATCAAAACGAATCAAACACACTGAGGCTTATAGACGGGAGTGGAGGGTGGAGGGATGGGGTCAACAGGGGATGGTATTAAGGAAGGCATGTGTTGTGATAAGTACCGGGTGTTATATGCAACTGATGAATCGTGGAACACTACATCAAAAACTAATGATGTATTATATGTTGGCTAATTGAAAATAAACAAAAATTTAAAAATTTAAAAATTAAAAAAGATCCCCACCGTATGCGGTCAACTTACTTTACAGTGATCATATTGGAGCTGTAAGGCTGGGACATCCCCTCCAATGGGCATTTGCTTTTGAAGCTCTTCATCTTTAATATTCAGCCATTTGATAAGTTCTTCTAAAGACGTCAGCAACCTGTTCCACTTCTCTGCACTGGCCTCCAAATGGGCCCTGTTGAGAGACAGAATGGACCACATTCAGAAGTCTGAATTGAGTTCAAATATTATATATCTTCCCTTAGACTGATAACCTTGTATGACTAACTAATGTTCACATCCCAGAAAGAGGCTCACTCTTTGTTTAAAAAAAAAAAAATCCCATAAGAAACAGTTATTTTGAAGAAGATAAGATATACAGATATGTTAATAATATCTATCAAAATTTAAAACAGATAACTACATTCCACAAAGGCATAAACATGAGTCTTTCAAGATGAATGTCCATGATATAATGTAAAATTATAAAAGCAAGTTTCAGTAGCTTATGTATAGCTTATATGTACACACAGATATAATTTTCTTCTTCCTTTATCCACATATATGAAGACAGGGACTGAGAGAAGAACAGAAAGAAACTATATGCATATAACATGTTTGGAATAATACATATTAGATGGGGTTACTACTGAAAACACAGTAAACACTTAATTTTTATATATTTATGTACTAATTGACTATGTACAACAGGCCCGTGTTAATTTTAGTTATAAAAGAGTGAATTAATTTTTTTTAGGAAAGGAAATTACTGTCTTAATTTCCCTTAAAACTCAATAATTTACTGAAAGAATGTCACTAATATTTACCTCAAAAAGTTGGGAAACAATTAGCCATTGCTTGGATAGAATGCTATTTGGCTTAAGACTGACTGGTGTCCTGTGACAAATGTCTACTGTGAATAGAAAACAACTGGGCATAGTAATCGATTACAGTACTTCATACTCTGGTCTAAAGGTGGTTCAATAAGAATTTCTGGTTTTAGTACATAAAAGTACCTTCAGATTCTTAAATTATGAACATTCTATGCAGGAAACCATGTTTTAGAAATACATTTTTATGTGATTTAAGATTCCGGTAAGAGTAAAAGCCCTTAAGAACAGAAATGCAAATAAAAGCACAAATTTGGGGCCCTGAAGAAAGCCCACTCAGCCAGTCTCAAGCCCACACGTCATGGGCTGAATCTGAAAAGGGGGATCAGTCAGAAAGAAGTCCAGGGACTCTAGAAGTCAGCATTTACTCAACCTTGCACGCCCCTCGGGGTCAGACAGTGAAAGTGGATTTAAGTACTCCACTGTGTAACATGGAATTACCTTGACCTTTCAGACTGAGAGGTGCAGGACTAATGGAAATAGACCTAAGCCTTGTTACACACCAACTTCCAAAGACTAAAGACATGATGGCCAAAGATGACTTATTTGGGGGGGGCGCCGGGGTGGCTCAGTGGATTAAAGCCTCTGCCTTCAGCTCAGGTCATGATCCCAGGGTCCTGGGATCGAGCCCCGCGTCGGGCTCTCTGCTCAGCGGGGAGCCTGCCTCCTCCTCTCTCTCTGCCTGCCTCTTTGCCTACTTGTGGTCTCTGTCAAGTAAATAAATAAAATCTTAAAAAAAAAAAATGACTCATTTGGGGCAACTTCAGGTGCAAGAAATCTCTGTAGACCAGGCTTCACATCCTCTCAGTTAGCTATCACCTTGACATTGGCATCAGGATGACCCCTTCCACAAAACTGCTCCTTCCCTTAGTAATAGGAGACCAGTCAACCAGGGACAGCCACTACTGTCCCTCAGTCTTATCAGTAATTTCCTTTTTGGACATCTGATTGACTTGAGCCTCTGTTCCTAAAGCTTAGAGTTCTGCTATAGTTAATCCAAACAAGTATTTTCCCATTGATCACATTAGGTGGTATTCCAGCAACAGACATTCAACAATATCCTGTCTTTGTTTAAAAGTTCATAATGTTTTCAGAAGAACAATCTGATCTCTAGCTCATCTCTAGTTCATAAAGTAGTGACCATGGTCTATCAGTCAATGTTCTTGACTAAAAAAAAGATGGAGTTCTGCATATCCCTGAAATACCATGAACCAACGTGCGGTCACATACAAAAGGCCAGTTATTTTGCAGTATATTTATAGTTTGGTTGTCAGCTGGCTAATATAAAACAAACTATTCAAACCCTAAAATTATATATCTTATTCAAAAAAGTTAGATATGAAATAATAAAAAAATTATTTGTAGATACAGAAAGAAGTCTGAGGCATTTTATAATTCTTTGAGAATTGTTATAATTAAAAAGTTTGTTCTATTCTCTTGCATTTATAATCTTTTCTATTCATTCTACAGGTGGTACAACTGACCTCACTTTACAAAATTTTGCTTTAATTAGATCCTGATTCTGCATGAGTGCCAGCTTTTCTGTGTTCATATTGATTAATTTTAGGCCAAATATGTAATTACCTATCCATGATAAACAGTAATTTTACTTGTCACAGAGCAGAACTAAATAATTTCAATTATATTAACTGAAAACTCTGCCAGTTACAAGTCATTTTGTCATAAATACATTTGACAGAGGTGTTGCAATTTCTTTCTAGTATTTTTAAGTGCAAAAAAAAAAAAAATGACAGCTAGACATCAGTGGCCTTTAGTTAATCAAGATGTGCTTGAGTGTCTCTGTGTGTAAAACACTCAAGCACATACCCTGACCTTTATTTTAGATTATTTGATCTTGCTTCTTCAATGTCTGTAGCTTAACTCTTTAATCAATAACTAAATCAGATGTTACATTCCTTTGAAATCTGGTTATAGATACTCATCGTTTTGAAGAGCATGCAAATGTTTTTCCCCCCCAATGTAATTAACTCTTTTGACTGCATAAAATAATGAAACTGATCACTGAAATCTATCACATTCAGCAACTGCAGGACTTTTCATAAAGACGAAGGCAATGCTTTTTATAGAGAGATACTGAAGTGACTTTGAAATAAATGAGGTAACACTGGTGTACGTACTTCTCTGCATCTTCCTTTTTCCATCCTAAAAAGCAAGCTGATCTGGCAGAATCTTTGCCTGGAAAATCTGCTCTGGTTATTCTCCAGTAGATTATAACTATGTGTTCCGTGGATTACTACCATATGCCCAAATAAATGCATGCTTCCATAGTAGTCTTCGGTGTTCTAGTTTCAATTTAATTCTTTCATCTTTCAAGATGAAAGCCTTTTCTTGGGCACTGGGTCGAATGCTTTGTAAGTAGAAACCTTAAACTTGTTTTTGGTGTACTTGCACTTTCTCAATTTTACTCTGAACATTTTAAAGCTTCCCCTTCCTCACAACTATAGACGACCAGTCAGTCATCAATCATATTTTCAGAACCTCAGAACATTTCTTTAACTCGTATCTACGAGCACTCACATTCTGGATAACCGACTTATATTATCCTAATTCTCACTGTTTCGGTTTATTCTTCAGATACAGAACATGGGCTTTCGAAAGTGCAAAAGTAGAAATACTTTCACTGGATGTATCAACCTAGGATGATCTCTACTACAGAATGTGCTTTATATAAGTTAGCTCTCATTATACTGAATCATTTATTTTACAAGTCTCTACACATTTTTAAGTGACCCACTCTTTTTAAAACTATATAATATAAGAACTTCATAGAAGGTAGGGACCCATAAAAAATGGTACCCTATCATTCAAATATAACATGGAGGAAACTGTAAATTAATATCTATTTGAAATCACAAAAGTCTTGGGGCACCCTCGTGGCTCAGCAGATTGTATCCCACTCTTAATTTCAGCTCAGGTCATGATCTCAGGGTCATGAGATTGAGCCCCACATCAAGCTAAGCACAGAGTCTGCTTGAGATTCTCTCTCTCGGCCTCTTTCTGCCCCTCCCCTTGCTCACACTCTCTCTCTAAAATAAATAAATCACTAAAGCCTCTACTTTTCAATGTTTCTTCAAAGAAGTTTTTATTCATTCTCCCAATATACAGCTAGGAAAAAGAGAGCAAACAGTGTGAGTGAGCCAGCAGGAGCACATATAAAAATAAAATACAGCTTTCCACTTACTCATCCCAAACAAACATCTACGGAGCACTTGCACTGATTATCAGGTACTACATGGTTTCCAAACTAAAAAGCCCTGGGACCAAGGTGGGAGAAAGGCAAGTTCACCAAATATGCTCTGATATAAGAAACCTAACAACAGTTCTCTGAGGGAACCACAGCTCGGAGAAGAAAAAAAATGGCTTAAGAAAAGAATTTGGGATCCAAACTGAAGTCTAAACTCTTTCCACTCCACTGCTTTCCTTAGGGGCAGCATTTAAGATGGGAGACAGAAATGGCCCACACATACTTATAGACAAGTGAAGATCCAATTGCAAAGTAGGTCCATCAAAGAATACAATGTCCCAAATTAAGGGAACAAATGCATGCTATCCCCAGCGCATAAGGAATGCACAGAATTAAATGTCCAATGTGGCATCTTTATGACAAATGAAATTTATTTTTCGTTTATGGTAAAGCCCATAGATTATAAATCAAGTTATAATGAAAGCAAATACCTTTATTAGTATAAGAATAACCAGTTATAATAAAAGGAGTTATTTCTGCTCCCAGAAAAGGAATAAAGATGACTAGAAGAAAGAGGAATTCAGTGTGTGCTGAAAAGAACACCAAAGCCATGCTTCCAATATGGTTGCCAACACTGACATATAGATATTTCCGTTGAAACTCAAGTTAATGAAATAGATTTTGAAATTCATGCCATCAGTTGCACTAGTCACATTTCAAGTACTCCGTATGCCACCTGTGGCTCGTGGCTACCACACCAAACAGCACAGAGACAGAACATTTCTACCTTCTCAGAAAGTGCCATCAGAAACTGCTGAACCAGAGCGGGGAAAGGAAAGAAGAGAGGGGCCGTATCTTCCTCTATTCAACTTGAGAAAAGGAAATGTTAGTAGTTTTACAATACGGTTAGAAAAATCAACTGGTTAAGGCTAAAAGTGGTGTCAGTGACATTGTAGAATGTGGTAACATTAGATGTAGTCATGATGTTAAAGGTTAATCTTCTCTAAGGGCTCTTAAAAGGGTGCCCTGAATTTTTAACAGGCTCATAAAAGAAAGGAAAGATAGAATTTTATCTTTGAACTCTGTTTTCATTAGATTTTA